TTAATGCAATGAAAATAAAAATTAAGAAAACGAAAGTACTACATTGTATAATAAAACAATGTATTTATTACTATTGAGAGATGGTATTACGAAATGAAAGATATACAAAAATAAATATTAAATTTAAAATGTTGTGAACTGTTATTATTCGGCAAGGCCTGAAATGAGTGTTAGTACTGCGATGTTTATAAATTTAGTAACGTTGTAAATACTCCTCTACAAGAAAAGTATGTGAAACTATTCCTATATACCATATCTCATTATGTAATAATTATAAATAATAGCACAACTGTCTACAAAAATAATTACACTTTATATCGTATTTCTATAGTATATGTTTTATCAATACTATTTCTATTATTTAAATGTTCGCGTCGAATAAATTTATTGCCTACATATAAATATTCAGCATCACGGATTACATATTCGGTTCACTACCATTTCTACAGCAACTTGTAGGACGCACTGCAAATAATTTCTCTAAAAGTAAAATAGAACAGAATTTAGTACCATATGTTATCAGTTTATTTTTATGTATGGCTGCCATGATTCTATAATGTAATTTTACACATGTTCGGAAGTCACTTACAGTGGTGTGATATAATTATACACTAAAAGTAACTTTTACATTTTTTGTGATATTCAAACGAAAATTTAACGAAACACCGTATTTGTATATTTTCATATTACAATTAATAGATAATAGAAATATACAAATACAGCTTTTTTAGTTGTTGTTTAAATATCAATAAAAATGTAGACGTTACTTCTATAATTATTCACAGCTCTATAGGTGGTGTACTTTAATTGAAGCGCCCTATATATTTAAAAAGAACTTAACGAAACATTATATTTGCATATTTTTATATTAGAAATAGTAGAAAACAGAAATGCATAAATACGATATTTTGTTAAGTTTTCGCTTAGATATCAGTAACAATGTTTACACAAAATTTAGAGCTCTAAACAAACAAATTTTTCCTTTAGAAGTATATGTACTCGCAAATGCTTCCTTCAAGAAATATTTGCTACTTGCTATAGTTGTAAGAGTTAGTAATATATACCATCGAAATAATTCAGATCTATTACGTATAAATTACAAAAGAAGATTGTTATATTTATTATAAAAATAACAAATGAACTGGCTGACTGACAGTGTACACTTACTACAGTGGCCCACAAAAGTGTTCGTACACATTTTAAAACGCAATAACTTTTTCAAAATCGAACTAAATGATTTGAATTTTTTTAAATGATGGAAGGACTAGTCTACTAGACGTTGGCTAAAAAGCTTTTTTTTAATTTTGCTATTACTTGGAATAAAAAGAAAAAACTAAAAACCCTCGTTTTCTAACTCTTTTATTTGAGTCTATAACGAAAATTTAAAAAATGCCTTTTGTAGATCTCGGTAACTTATATGCGTGCTGAAAATTAGATCGAAATCGGTTAACCTAGAGTCGAGCTATAGGCGTTGAAGGATTTTGAAAACTGCAGATTTTTTACAGTTTTTGGTCAAAATCGCGATAAAACTGCGATTTTTGCGATCTTTAATTTGTTGTAACTTATATATCTAATAACAACGTGAACTGATTTCGATAGAATTTCAACGTGCATATAAGTTACCCAGATCTACGAAAGACATTTTTTAAATTTTCGTTATAGACTCAGATAAAAAAGTTAAAAAACGAGAGATTTTTACTTTTTTATCATTCCAAGTAATAGCGAAATTTAAAAAAAAAAGCATTTCAGTCGTCTAGTATAGACTAGTCCCTCTATCGTCTAAAAAAAATTTAAGTCATTTAGTTCAGTTTTAAAATAGTTATTGTGCGTTTTAAAAGGTGTACGAACATTTTTATGGGCCACTGTATGTACGCCATTGTAATTATTGTCACTTCTCCGATATATTGCAGGTATCGATCACAGAATTCGCCATCTCACACCCAAGTTACGAATGTATAAATGTTATAAAAACATTGTCTATGAAGCATGCTAATCCAGAAACGTATAAAAAATTGTTATCGCTTGAGAGTCACACCGATGATATTATTGAAAAGCAGAGCTTCACTTTTGAGGCGACATTAAAAATTATGCATTTCATCAGAAGATTTTTCAAATCGGACGATATAGCCGACGAAGAAATTACAAGAATCGTTGGAATCCTGCAGGTACGAGATCCTTAACAGAATTTCACTATGTATAGGAAATTAATAATTTCCAAATAGAAAGAAAGAAATATAAAAGAAGAAGAAAATGCTTAACTCATTAATTGACAAGTTTATTAAAATTAATTGAAGGGTGGTAACGAAAAAGTTGAATACTCACAAAAATCTATTAAATAGCGAGAGACTTTATTGAATTCAAATACACATTTTTTTACTGACTTCTACGATTAAAATAACGTCTATATAATGTAATACTGTTGGTATTATTGGAAATTGTCCGAAGTATTTTATCCACGTTTTAAAGTAACAGTCATAAAACAAGAGATATTACGATAGAACTTCGATTATCCGAATTCAAAATTGATAGTAAATTTCTTTCTTTACGATTAATTATTAATACAATAATATAAGATGATAAATCGAGGCTTAATCGAGGTCCTTCCTATAGTTTCATTGTTATTACTCGGAATAATTAAAATTTTAAATAATAAAGATCAACAAAAATCTAGTTCGGTTAACCGAAGTTTTATTGTAATAGATAATATTGTGTCTCGGAAATATTTCTAGTCCTTACGACCATATTTCATGAAGATAGAGGTTAAGATATGCATTTGTAATAGGGCTAGTGATTTTAATTGAACCTATGAGATACTCGGATGCCCATAAGATACCCTAGTAGACAAAAATCTCCCGGATACTAAAAAATAAAAGTACGAGGAAATAAAATCGCGTACAACTAATAATGTGACTAAAATTCTCATCTGATGGTGAAAACATTGAAATGTGGAAATAATATGATAAATTATTTTTATTTTAAGATACAGTTTATGTTTTCATAACTCTTATTTAAATATTTAAATAAATCAAATTCTGCATTTTGATTATTTTCCAAGTTAGATTTTGATTTTGAAATAAAAATATTAATGGATCAACACTTTTTGGCAGTAAACTATTGTGCTTTTCTATCATTATATTTGCAGCTGTAGAAAACAAATGTTCTGAACTGACAGACATAGTTGGAATGCTTGAATATACCTTTACCAAATTTCATCATTTTTTATATTTTTTAAAATTACTCTTCCATCAGTTCATCAGATTTAAATTATGATTTGTCATTTTTACATTATTTATTTCTTACAATATAAAACCTAACACACTGGAAGGTGTATTAGTTACACTTTCATTTTCATCGGTTGACTATAAAGAACATACAAAGCTTATGGTCGCATCAACCCAAATATGAGCTCTCCATGTCACATTGAAGTAATTTTGACAGAAAAAGAACCATTTGCTGTCGAAAGTCTAGACGAAGAAGAGTTTTCCAAAAAGAAACCTAGCGAAAAGCTTGCCAGAGAAAAGGAAAAAATAATACGAGAATAATTTTATCTACTAATTGAATATTGAATGTATTGTGGAAAATGAAGATTGAACTGATATTTTGTTTATCATATTTCTAATGTAAGTTGTAATTTCCTTTCTTACTTTAATGTTATCAAAAGTTAAATTTTTAGTTCAAGGATCATCTTACGTAAGCGTAAATAATTCAGACACTGACAAAGGAAAAGAATTTAAAACCACGTTACAAATATATTTCATTAGAA